AATGCTCTTTGGGTTACTGAATGAAGAAGAAGAATTTTCTTGATGTGATACTAACGCTTATAGATTTTGAGAGCTGGCAACACATAGATTTAGAGAAAAAAATTACAATATTTTTAAATACCTCACTCCTAGAAGACCTCACTACAAACCGCACAAAATATTATCAGTTTTAAGTTATGGGCAACATAGTACCACAAATAATACATTTAGATGGTATGGTAAAAATCTGTTATGAAATGAATTTTATTCTATGGACACACTTGTTTCGTCGTTTCCTGGTTCGATATTTATAATGTAAGACCCCCATCACCTATACTTTTTATTTTGTTCAAATATGATAAGTACCTAAACTAAATAGCACGCATCAATTTGATTAGTTAAAGTCAAAGTAACTCTTTTTCTTTCTTCACCATTCGTTCTTGGGATTATATTAAAAGATTCCTTAATTCACGGTGAGGCACCGTTTTCTTCACTCACTTCTGTATATATATCCTATTTATATGTCTCACTTTAATTATAATGCTTCTACTAGCCTTTTGTAATGCACCAGTTTTATTAGATCTAGAACTGTATTTTCAAGTTAATAACAAGTACTAAAATTGTTTCGTTTTCTTAAGTGAGTAAGAATTCATCTTATGCAGATTTCACCAACTTCAAAAGAGCAAGAAATCATGTCTATAAAAATTCTTGATGTACCCAAAAACGACATAAAAATAAGCTTTCTTCATATTAATATTGAACTTCATTGCAGTAAAACTTCTTATCTTTCGATCGGTTTAATAACCGAGTAGGCTTTATAAATAAAGATTATAGAATTATTCTTTATTGTTAAAGTTCTTAAGTTTATGTCAATTGTTAGTTTGCTGGTAAGATGTATGGAAATAAATCATAGCAATATGCATACATTCAATTACTATATACTTCAATTCAATTGCAATATACATATCCATTCAATAGAATCAAAACTAATTGCCAGTTTTATCCGTACTTTTGTTCTTGAAAGTCTGAATTAAAGAGGTCTAAGTAAAGTTAGGTACTACAATTTCTATTTAATAGTTAACCAACTAATCAGCAGTATAATTCCTGCAACTTTTTTTATAATTAAAAATTTTTTTATGCACATTCCAATTGCAAAATTGTAGCGTTATAGTAAATACACTAGTTCTTCATTCCTTATAAGAAGTCACATTATACTATATTTATATTTATAAGATTGTTGGAAGCAAATTTATCTCTATGCATCGTAAAAATCAAATCCTCAAACTTTCTATAGATTAATACTAGTTCACTTTGATAGGATTAATTACTTACTGCATACAGAAAGTCGAGAAAAGGTGCCATTTCTAGAATAAAAATTAAGAGCAAAAGGAATCGAAGAATTTTCCTCATTAAAACTATTAGGTGGTTACATACAAAGCATAGGGAAATGTTTGGAACACTTTATTCAGTCATTTAAGTCAACAATGCATTTTATGTGGTAGAAACAATTGTCAAGTTTTGCCATGTTTATTTTTACACATCCTCCTATTTCTCGAATCAGTGCTAATGGAAGAAAGAGTGAAATGCGTAAACAGACTGTAAATTTTCATCTCGAATAAACAAAAGCTGAAAAAGACAGTCACAATGTTTATGGTTAACACGTTCAGGGAGTGTTAAAAATTCAAAGATGTGCCAGATTTATTTTCGCTGTTTGACTAATCTCTCATTACTGTGTGTTAATGTTTTGGATGAAAGAGTACTTAAGGAGCTCTATAACTTTGAATAGCATCTATCGAAAGTGTTTGCAAAACTATTAATTAATCCTTTTTGTAATTTTTTTCATTTTTCACCCCATCCATAGAAGCACTAATTTTTGTTTATACATTAACCGTCGTTGCGATTCCCCACTGAGTAAATTTTTCTATTGGTTGTCTGCATATCCTGGTGTCGACTTTACAAATGCCCTAAATTTAACGAAAATCAGGGGGTCTACTTATTTACCGGTTACGGAGATTCTTGATCAAGAAATATCTATATATTATAAATAATGAGATAAATATGATAAACTCTGTATAAATTTACCCCTTTCAAAAATCTTTTTAAATACTTTATTTTCAAATAATATACCGATATATTCAATTTCTTCTCTTAACTTATTTTCTTCAAATGTTTTTTAGAAACAGTTTACTGAATTACGTTTAGACAAAAAAATTAAGAGTAAGAAAAATTGCGATAATTTATTAGAGTACTTCAAAAACTAAACCATAATGAAAACTTTTAAAAACATGCCGTAAAGCTACAATTTAAAAGTTAACGTAAAGCTAAACATCATCTGTGTCGAAATCAATAAGGTTAGTAGTATCGTCATACGGATCCCACTTTGCTATGGGACTTCATCCTGATCTGTTTAATTCCATAAAAAAAGTCTCCAAAGAATTCGAAATTTCACTCTTTTTCAAAGAATTTATTTACAATAACATTTTTAAATCCACATTTTGCCACGCGTCATTTAAACACTAAAGGAGCATCGCGTCTTTATGGGAGGGGAAATGTATCATATTCAAAGAGATCAATGCGAAACATTTTAAACTTTAAAAAAAAAAAATTCTAGTCTTAGGAATTCTTTTTTTTTATGCTTCTTTAATTTTAGAAGTGTTTATATTTGGTTTTTCAGCTGTCGAATTAACTCGCTATACCAGAAGCTTGCTATCTCGTTATCAAAAATGGGAAATCTACTTATACAAAGAATCCGAGATATGCAGTATCACAATTTTCATGAAATATTTTTAAAAAAAATCTGTATATTGGTACAGTCAAGTTACAAATATAATAGAACGATGAAAATGTAATTTTTTTTATAAAATCTCTTAGCCTTTCATTTTTCGTTTAAATTTAATTTCGCCAAACTGTTTTTCGCAAGCATTCTTGAATTAAAATTAGATCGAAATTTATTAAGGACGTTTTCTTAGAATTCGTTTTCTTTGCCAGATACATTTTTAAATTTCGTTAATTAGTTCACGGAGGAGAATGAATGGGACAGAACGCTATTTCCATATTAACTGAACCTTGATCTATTTTAATTTCGGTAAATACTGCGCCATTAAAATTTGGCTAAAGTATATTTAATTCTTTAGGCATTTTGTGATCAGGTTATAACTTTTTTCGCGAGTTGTTAAACTTTATGAACCATTCTCTCATCATTCAACATTAAAATTCCTTTCAGTATCTTAACCTATATTTTGATAACTCCCCAACTACTAACGATATTACTGTGTTCCTCTTTATGATGAGAAGTCATTGGCCCTCTATGTAGCGTTATTCATAAGACAGTGGCCCATTTCACTTCACTTTATTGCTATTCGCACAATGTCGACTCGACAAAAGTTTCGTTTTGTTAAGGTGGCGGCGGAGCCTACAGAAAAACGCCGTTATGGGCTAAATATAGAATATTCCTCCATCTAGATGCCATAAATCAATTAGTTTTCTTTTTCGTTTCTTTTATTTTTTTACGTACCCTGACAGCCGAAAGTGTCACATTAAAGCACTCGGAAATAAACTGAAGAAAATATTTTGAGAATTAGTCATTGTCGTTTTTAAAAGTCAAATAAAACAAAAATAAGAACGATATTTGAGCTTTGTTTCACGGATAAGACCATTGTGAGAGGTGAGTATTCTCCATACTGAACGTGACGCATCTCTTAAGTTTATTTTGGAAAGTGTTGATTTTTTTCTAGTTCAACTACATAAAATAAATAATAATACTAAAAAAAAAATCTCGGAATGCAAACATTGCAAAATCACTTAGCATTTGTTGATGGGAGGTTATCAACACATGCCTTAAATAACGATAACGGTGGGAACAATATTTTAGACATAAAAATCTGAGTCCCAGACGGTGTCTGTTGTATGTTTCTGGCAAAGAAGGTATGGTCTCACGCATTTTTAGTCTCAAGAATTTCTGCATTTTGCTCACGAAATCGGAAGATAGACTAGTCAAGAATGCAAAAGAAAAAAGAAAGAAAGAAAAAGAATAAAAATTGTATATATACATAATTTGTTTTTTAAGCGTTAAGAAAGAAGTTTCGATTTTTAATTATTTGACTATCGCTAAACACTGCGTGTATTGCGAGTCCGAAAACTGCTTAAGCTCAAACACTTTAAGCTAAACAATTTATTGCAGTTCATCATAGAAAGACATTAGCACATTATCTATTCTTTTTTATGCTTTTTTTTTGGATCATGTGCCATTTTTAAACCCTACATTTAATTCATAAATAGTTTTTTTTGTGAAGAGTTTCGAAATATTTTCTGTTCACATAGGGACTATTAGACATTTAGTAACTTACTTATTTTAATATATACGACTTTAGTGCTCAGCAGGACATAGTATAGGGGTAATCTTCGTGAGGTTGAGATTTAATCTCCTAAATTTCTGAAAACCAATAATTATATGAAATCATTAGTAAATGACTCTTAAATATACAAAGACAATTATGTAGTAAATTTTTAATTTAGGATTCTTGATTTTAACCAATTGCTCGCGATAATTTCCTAGATTTTCGTTCTATTTACTTAAAAATGCAACAGCATGTATTGGGATAGTTTCTCTTGCTCTCTCTCTCTCTCTCTCTCTCTCTCTCTATATATTCTCGAATAAACAANTGTTATGAGTTTACTACTTTTGGAAGACGTTCTTAAAAATGCTTATATCGGAATTATCAATCGTCTCAAGTTCACGAAAATTTTATTTATCAAGAATTAGGCTGTTTGAAGGAACAAAACTTTTTTTTTGACAAAAACTGTGTTCTTGCGACTTACTAAGAATATATCTGAATAAAAAAATATCTTTAAGATATAAATATCCTATGATTCGCAATATGTTATTTTGGATTAAAATTCGTGGTAATCTTGAATCCATTTTTACTGTCTTTCTATCTTTATATTTGGAAAAGTTTTATTTTCTTCTCATTGAAATGAGTGTTATTTAGGAATGAGATAGTGAATTTATGACATTCTTTCAGGCTGTTACTGAAGAGGTTCAAAGAAAGAGTGTTACTAAAACACGCACAACTCAATCTCGAACCACTCAGTTTAGAAGCGTCGAGTTACATAGCATAGTTCTTCCTGGCACAGGCCAAATAACTGGTAACAAAATTTTCTCTTATGCTTTGCAAAACATTCCTTACATTTTGTTTTTTATTTTAAAAAAACTTGAATTAATAAATATGGTTTTGTCTCAGCTGATATCAAAATGCCATCAGGAAAATTCGATAAGCCGGTTGTCATAGACAACCAAGATGGGACCATTTCTATTAAGTACGATCCAAGGGAAGAAGGTTTACATGAGTTGCATGTGAAATACAATCAAGAACATATACCAGGTAAATAATTCATGGTTCCTGATAAAATAGAATGATATGTTTAATGAATGTGCATTTATTTATTTATTTATTTTACAGGCAGTCCATTCAAAATTTATGTGGATTCAATTACAAGTGGTTTTGTGACTGCACATGGTCCAGGTTTGAGCAGAGGCATTGCTGGTGAACCTGCTAATTTTACAATTTATACAAAGGATGCGGGAGCAGGTATATTATTTATAAAATTAATTTTTAGTATTGAATTTTTTTCAATTAAGGATTGGTGATATGTAATATAGTGGGAATTTTAAAATATAAATAAAATGTGAATTTTTTTTAAGGGCAAATATATTTTTAGTTTCAGTTTTGTTATTCTCAAATCATTTCTTTCTTTATTTCTTCTGTGGAACAAAGTATAGTTTTAAAATTAAATATTTATTTGTTTACCAGTGACTTACAATTTACATTGCATCTTAGCTTTTACTTTATTTATGTTGATATGTTTATGATACATAAAAATGTAAAAATATTTTTTTTATAAAGAATGTATGTAAAAGTTATTTTTTTATTTTATTTTGTCCAAATAAGGGTTAATATTTGGATTAAAAATGTTTCTAACTAATTTGAGACAAATTTCAGTGTTATTTTTTTAAAGTAAATTTTTATTAACTTGAAACCACTTTTCATTCTATTATATCGAATTTATCTGTATAACATTGTTATATGCTTGTTTCCTTCATAATTTTCTAATAATATGTTAATAAAAAAACTAACCTTGAAATCATAAAAATAATCCCGTCATCTTTTACTGAACTCTGAAAGTCTTTTAAATTGCTAGAAAATACTTAGGCAAAATCTCAAAACTGTCGTATATTTTTTTATATACATTGTTTTTATTCGCATACCAAATAAGTAAAGAAATTAAGTGGGTGATAATTAATCAGTAATTAATTAAATTAGTTATCACGCACATTATTTCAAATAATAAATATCTCTGATCGATAAATTCATTTAATTAAAGTTTTTGACAAAGAGCTAAGCTGTAATCTCGCTTTTTAATTTGAAATGGTGAATTTCACGTAAACCTATATTTTAGGTGGACTTGATGTTGCAGTCCAGGGACCTTCTCAAGCGGAAATAACGTGCCACGATAACAAAGACGGAACAGTTGCTGTTAATTACTTGCCTGCAGCTCCTGGAGAATATAAGATTTCTGTCAAATTTGCTGGCAAGCACATTGCAGGAAGTCCTTTTACAGCAAAAATTACAGGTTTGATAATTTTTTACTAAATTTTGGTTGCGAAATTTAGATTTCAAATTCTAATAAAATCTTAGGAATATAGTATTTATTGAAAAGAAATGCAGTTTTCAAAGCTTTTAAAGTTTTTTTTTATTCCTTAGAATGATGCAATGTAAGATTTCTTATTGACTTTTGATGTAACAGTAAATTTTTTGAATCAGAATGCAATAAATTAAGTTTCTGCATTGTGACCTAAAACATGACTGAGAAACGTTTTTAACTATTGATCGAAATATAATTTGGTATTGGCATTAAACATAATTTTGTATATGTACCTAACCTAATTAGATTTTAATTTGGTAATGTAATATTTCAATGCATTGAACGTTTACTATGAATTAACCTTATTAACTATAAATGCGAATGTTTTTTAGGTGAAGGCCGAAAAAGAAATCAAATATCAGTGGGTCACTCTAGCGAAGTTTCACTGAAAGTACAAGAAAAAGATGCCAGAAATCTGAATGCTAGTATTGTCTCTCCATCAGGTCTAGAGGAACCCTGTTTTCTGAAAACATTGCCAAATGGTCATTTAGGTAATATTCTGGACAACAATCTCTTAATACTGTTCAGTAGCATTCACTCAATTAATTAAATTTTCTTTGTCGAATGGCAGGAATTTCTTTCACTCCCCGTGAAGCCGGACCGCACATGGTTAACGTTAAGCGACAGGGCAATCATATTCAAGGAAGTCCGTTCCAAATCAATGTGTTAGATCAAGAGATTGGCGATGCCACTAAGGTGAAGGTCATCGGCAATGCTATCAAGGAAGGAAAGACTCATGTTGAAAATCAGTTCACAATTGATACAAAGGAAGCCGGTATGATTCCATACTCTCGTGTGATTCATTTTAAATTTCTAAAATGTTTTTCTAGATAAAGAAAAGAGCAGTTTTGTTTTGTATCAACAATATTTGTTAACTAAATGAAAATCATTTTTTTTTGTAACAATCGAGTTCAACTTTATATTGAAATATAATAGCTTCTTATGTTATATTTAAGCTTAGGGTGTTTAGTAGGTATATCTGGATGATTTACAATCTATTAATAAAACTTTATTATCAATGCCCATCATCTATTTATCAATTGACGAATAATAATATAATGTCATAAGTTTCAATTTTAAAATTATAATTCTTACAAATATGAATATAGAGATGCAAAAACTATTTACTTATTAAACTATAAATAAGAATAGAGTTACAATTTCTTTTGGAAAGCAATGTTATGGAATTATTTTAATAGTGTTGTATTGCCACACTATGAAAAGGATTTCACCGCAAATTATTTATTACAATTAAACGAATTTTTTTTTGGACAATTATTTTGAAAAATATTTTTTTTTTCATTTAAAATGTATTTCAACGGTTATGCGTTTATTATTCTTAAAATGATATATGTCACTAGCAAATATGCATAAGTAATTTTTTATTGTGATTTTTAATGCAGGTTTTGGAGGCCTTAGTCTTTCTGTTGAAGGACCCAGTAAAGCTGAAATTAACTGCAAAGATAATGAAAATGGCACATTGACTGTAGGCTATAAGCCCACTGAGCCAGGATATTATATTGTAAATCTGAAGTTTGCTGATCATCACGTACCAGGTAAGCAAAAATTAAAAAATTAAAAATGAATAATAAAATAAAGTATTATAAAAATGAAATTGCTTCCATTGTTTTTTGACAGGAAGTCCTTTTACTGTGAAAGTATTAGGTGAAGGATCTAATATTCAGAGAGAATTTATTAAAAAGCAACGAGAATCTGCACCAGTTGTTGATGTTGGCAATGAATGTAAACTTACTTTCAGGCTTCCCGGTATGTTTACCATTGTTTTATTCAAGATGCCCGCTTTTCTATACACTGTTTGATAATTTATGAATGTTAAAAATAAAAATTATGTTACTGTATGGTGCATTCTCTTCTCCTAGGATCTAGTGCATTTGATATGTCTGCCAAAGTCACATCACCATCTGGTGTCACCGAAGATGCCAGCATCGCTGACTGTGATGAGTGTAGTTACAATGTTCATTTTGTTCCGAAGGAGACGGGTGTGCATACAGTCAGTGTACGATGCAAAGATCTCCACATTCCTGGATCACCATTTCAATTCACTGTTGGCCCTTTCAGAGACCATGGCTCCCATAAAGTTCATGCTGGAGGACCTGGCTTATACAGAGGAACTGTTAGCGAGATATGTGAGTCTCTATCACTTGATTTCATCATTAAAGAGCTAAAAACGCTAATCACGCTTAGGTTAGAAAGTGTGGGAGTTCATATATTAATTTTTACTTCTTCTAAATTTTATTACTGGCTAAATCACATTTACATTATTCTCACTTTAAAATTATTTTTCATAATTTAAAACCTTCTGAAAATTTTCACTTTCCACTTTAAAGAATTTACCATTAAGGCCTTCATTGTAATAAGCCGACTCTTTCTTTGTTCATTTTGAAATACAGATCTTGTCTTAAGAATGTTTTTCCTTTTTTGTGTGATTTGTAGTGTTCCTGCTTAGCTGTGAAAAATAAGCTGGAAGTTTTAAAATGGAAATGAACGTGGAAGGGACTCTATTTTCAAATAAATGGAGTTGATTCACTATTTGAATGAGATCTTTATTTGATCCTATCTCATTATGGATGAAGCATTCAAGCAGGAATGATCGTAGCTTAAAAGTTATGCTTTATAATGAGATTTTAAAGCTAAAATAAATTTCGAAGATTTTTGAAGTGAAACTTCTAATGCGACTTCCAACAAGTTTGTGTTAAACGTTTAACGCTACCATGGCAACGAACGGCCCGTGATCCTTGTAGGAGATTTTAATGTGAATTTCTCGTTACCTGAATCTGAAACATTATTAACCTTCCTCAAAGACAAATTTGGATTGGAAGTAATAAATGTTAGGAATGATCCAACAACCAAAGGGGGAACTACCATTGATGCAGTTTTTGCAAGAAATATTGAAAAAATAGAACTCAAACATTTCGTATCTTACTTTAGTTATCATAATCCCATTGTAAATGTTATAGATTTGGATATTTCTCCACTCGAAAATGATAATTAAAAGATGCGATCAATTGTGAATTGTAAGCAATGTTAATAAAGTTTGTCTTAAAGAAACAATATGATTTCACTAAAAATCAATTTCTACCCCTTCCTATTTTCATTTACACATTACGAAGTTTCACTTCTTCCGCGCGGAGGGACTCCACGCACTATTTTTTTTATATGACCCTTTAGTGTTTTAAATAATTCTTCTATTTGAACTGGTTATTTTAATGATATAGTTTGCTTGCAAAAATTAGAAATCCAATTTTATTATTGTTTTATTTATTTGCTGCTATTGCTATTTAAAAATATATAGTTTCAGATCCAAATGGATGCATGCAATTTTAAATTTATTGAAAAAGCATTTTATTTATCCTTTTTGAATAATATACCCGTAATATATATGAATTATTTTGAAGACTTTATTTTGAAATGGTGTCTAATGTTCCATCTATTAAAAGATTAAATATTCAAAACATACTCTCGCTTAAAGATCTCAATTATTAGCAATTACTACAGATATTTAAAAAAAAGTATTGTTTTGTTGATTTATTTTTTATTTATAGTAAGATTAAAGGATGTTTGTTCAAAATGATTTATATTTAGAAAATAAAATATTTCTTTAAAGTTCACTTAAATCATTAAAATGAATTGTACTTAAAGATATTGTCATTGAATATTTAAGGTGAGTTTAATGTTTGGACGAGAGAAGCTGGTGCAGGAAGTCTTGCTATATCGGTGGAAGGTCCATCAAAAGCTGACATTGACTTCAAAGACTCTAAAGATGGTTCGTGTTACGTGAAGTATAAGGTGACTGAGCCAGGTATGAATTCAAAACAAACCTTATCTATATACAGAGAGAGAGTTATTTCTGTAGTTAATTCCAATATTGTCTTCTCAATTAAAAGGTGACTATAGAGTGGGTATCAAGTTCAATGAACAGCACATCCCGGACAGTCCCTACCACGTGTACATGTTGCCTTCAACGGGTGACACCTCAAAGATTGAACTGGCTCATATTCCAGAGAGTTTTAATCAAATTAACAAACCTGTAGCCATTGCCATTCTCATGAATGGAGCCAAAGGAAATTTAGATGGAAAAGTCATCTCACCCTCTGGAACAGAAGATGATTGCTTTATTACTCCTTTAGATGCTGGTAAGGATTCATTCATTTATTTCCAATCTAATGCATAATAGTGTTTCCTTTTCATGGGATGATTCCGAAATATCTTTTAAATATCTTACATCACCAAATACTGTCAACATTGTGAATGTTTGGAATATCATAACGTTTCTCTCACAATGTCGACAGACATTCCGCATGGTGAAAATTGAAAAAAGAGTTCTGTTATATATTTTTTATTTGTATCAGCAAATCATTTAACATACACCGATGGTACGGATGTAAGTGAAAAAGATTGATAATGACACACTCTCAAAGCATGCTGAATGTTGATATTTGTTGATGTTAGTGAAAAATATTTCTGACATACATATAGAATTGTTGACATTTAACAGATTTTTAACTTTTACACTAGTAAAATATTAGAGTTCTGTGAGCAGGTGGAGTATCCAGGAAAGCGTGCATTTTTCATAAAATTTAAAAATAATAAAAAAGTATTTATATTTTATTAATTTATAGTTCTTCTGACTACTTTACGAATAATAGTCTGATTTATATAATTATTCATACTCTGTTTCTTGTTTAATACTCTATTAATTCTTGATAAGCCTCTCATGATTATCACTCGATACATTCTATATTATATTTTTCCTGAATATATTAAATTATCACAAGAAGTCGATCCAATATTTGTTTCGAGTAGATCTGAGTAAGTATGAATTATTTTTTCTTTTAGTTGAATCATGCATATTAGTCGGAAATACTTAAAATATTATATTTTGTTCAGTGTTGCTATGGTATTTTTACAAAGATTGATGGCTATTGAAAATTGTTATTAAGGGAAGCGACCTAGTTTCCTGGTAATTCAAAATTGAGTTTATTAAAAACAAATTTTAAAAATGGTGAAATGTGAAGAGAGTTATTTTTATGACAATTCTAATTGATGTCTAATTACCCTTATGTAGATCAATGGGCATTAAGGTTTGTACCACGTGAAAATGGTGTGCACCTCATTCACATACGTTGTTCTGGTGTTCATATTCCACAAAGTCCTCTCCGTCTACTCATCGGCAAGGATGATTCAGATCCAGCAGCTGTTCAAGCTTACGGTCCTGGTTTGAAAGAAACTAAATCTGGTAATTTAATTTCTTTTTATGAATTACGAATGAATGATGACATCGTTTATTGAAATATTATTTTACTTACAGGCACCAAAACAGATTTCATTGTTGATACATGCAGTGCTGGTACTGGAACTTTATCTGTTACTATCGATGGACCCTCTAAAGTATCTATGGATTGCACTGAAGTTGAAGAAGGTTATAAAGTACGTTATACACCATTAGCCCCAGGAGATTATTTCATTACAGTAAAATACAATGGATATCACATTGGTGGAAGCCCATTTAAAGTTCCATGCACGGGTAAATAGTTTTTAGAACAATTCTTGTGTATTCTTTGTTATATTCATAGCTATAGCTTGATTAAAACTTATGATTTAATAAACATGGCTATTTACCAGTCATTCCTTTTAATGATTATTATTTTATTTTAATAATTTGTAAAAAATAGTCATTAAATTTAGGTAGTCATTTTTGATTCACTTATTTTTGATTATATAGTTTTGATACAACTCAACACTTAGTCGTTTGGAATGCATATACATCATCTTTTTATTCTATTTTTTAATGTTTTGGAAAATTAAAGAAATATTTTGAACAAAAGAAAGTTTCAAAGTAATGGATGACACTATTTTTATAGTCCCTCATTTCTCCTTAAAAATAGTAAACATGTATTGCTCTAAAAAATATCTTGATTTTTTGTAAAATATTTTTATTTTGAACTACTACGAAGCCTGCATGATTCGGAGATCTTGCTGTTAAAGTTCCAGACATCCATGGAGAAAAGTGATAAAGCAGTGCGATAGGATGTTAAAAAATGCATTGAGTTTTTTAAAAAGTTTTATGTATTAACTATGCATTTATAACTTCTAATATTTTGCCAGCTATCTTTATATTAAAACTTTGTGATTCAGAATGAACCCAATGAGCATCTATAATTCTGCTCATTCAACCCGTTCTATAACTTTTAGTAGATTTAAATTTGAAATAGTTATAACAAAAATCGCATCAACACCCAATAAAAATTTAGCACTATTTATAGGGATCAAAAACAGCATATCTTCATTTTTATAAATCTCGAATTTAAAATATATTGTACTATCTATGAACAAAGAACTATTTTATAAGGTAATATGATGTTTTCCTCTACTTTATGACGAAATTCCGACGTTTTTATTTTAGGTAGTGCTGTGACAGATATCGGAACTAAGGAACAATCTCAGGTTGTTGTTGAGACAAGTGCAAAACAAGCAAAGCAGAAAGCTGATCACTTACCCAAGTTTAGGTCCGATGCTACAAAAGTAACGAGTAAAGGAATGGGTCTAAAACGAGCTCATTTGCATAGGTCTAATCAATTCACCGTCAATTGCACAGATGCAGGTAAATTTAGAGTTCCTATTTTTTAATACCGGATTAAAAATAGAATTCGTAAAATGACGTGTGTAGATATTTCATAACGTACGAAATCTGTTCGCTTGAAATATCTGCTTGGTTACGATGAGGATGCTTGCTATAATTATTTCACATGTAATAGCCTTGAAATTGAAATATTTCAAGTGGACAGTTGTCGTAACTGTGACTACTACATACTTAATGTCACAGTTATGCTTCTATGTAAAAAAGACCATAAATGAAAACGAAATTTTATGAAACGTTATGAATTATAATATCGTTGAATTCAAACATGTTGTTTAACAGTTATGTGTGAGTTATGCTTCTATGTAAAAAAGACCATAAATGAAAAAGAAATTTTATTAAACATTATGAATTATAATATCGTTGAATTCAAACATGCTGTTTTAAAAAATATTGAATTTTTATTGATCAGTAAAAAGAGTGATATAAATGTAAAATTAGATTCATGTCTGATATGGAATGAAGGCAGTTCTAGTGTTGTAGTTTTGGTGTTCATGGGTGTGCATACACATTTCATTAGGATGGGCTGCTACATTAGCTATTTTCAATTTCATTAAAACGTCTTAAACACACAAATAAGGGAAGAAAATGTGTGAATGAAGCAGAAATGGTTATATAAACAAGAACATTCTTCAGTGTCTAAAACACCAAATGATGGTAGAGATGTGGAGAGACGTGCAAAGTGGTTTAACCAATAGCGGCGAAGGAAAAAGTTTGTACAACATCGTGATAAAAAGGTGGAGATAAAAAACAGAACAGATGTGAGGGGATTTGAACTTACGCCAGTTCTTAGCTCTCTTTTTTCTTATTATCTTGTTTAAACTTGTTCCTCAATCTCTATAACCACTTTGTGTTTGTCTCTTGACTTCTCTACCATCATTTGGTGTTGAGACACTGTGGAAGGTTCTTGCTTATCGAACCGAAACTATAGTATGACCATGTCTGTGCTTTAGTCTATCGAAACTATCCTTTTAGGATACATTAAAATATAATTGAAATCGCAATTTTTATTTCAGTACATACACCATTATCTAACATTTAGGTTTAGTGCATTTCAGTAAACCAGACCCATTATATATCATTCTAATGTATTTGTTAATTAACTTATCATGGAAAAAAAATATATTTTCACTTTATTTTCGTAGAAATTGATATAAGATTTAAAAACATAAAATAATGTGATCTTTGATTATTTACAGGAAATAACTTATTCTTCTGTTCTGTGTATGGCCCCAAAGGTCCATGTGAGGAGGTATTTGTTAAAGCTATCGGAAAAAATATGTATCAAGTTAATTACACAGTGAAAGAAAAGGGAGACCACGTAGTTGCTGTCAAATGGGGTGATGACCATATCCCCGGTAGTCCATTCAAAGTAGAAGTCTCTTAACTTTTTTTTAAAGGAAACAAAAACTGCTTGAAGTTCTCGGTTGTTGTCGTGAAAATATGTTTTTATATTCATGTTGCCAAATGTTTTGTTGTTTCGCTTCTCCTCTCCCTACATAGTCTGTTTTCTCGATGCAGATCATGTGAAACTACTCGTGATTTGTTTAGTATACCCACTTCGTGTCGTTTTATTGTTCTTTTTAATTTATCCAACGTGAAAACATTAAGTGCCTCGCTACACATGAAATTTTGTGTCGAACGGAAACTTACTTTAAAGGAATATTATATATTTTGATGTTATGTTGTTTGCAAAGTTTATGGATAATTTATATTTATTAAGACTTTTAAATGAATTTCAAAAATTTCATCCACTATTCGATTCATAATTTATGAGCTCAGAAATCTCTCAGCATTGCAATTTCTGTTTAAGCTGATCTCATTCTAAAGAAAAATGTGTACTTAATCTCTCATTTTAAAAATATTTAATTTTTAGAATTTAGGATGTTTATACTGTGGCATTTTATAAATTTATTTTAAGATAAAAAAGATTTAGTGTTTTCTGATGAAACTATTGATAATGTATTTGAGATTTTGAATTTTTTTTAAAAAGAAAACAATTTTATTTTGCTTGTTTATTGCAATTTTATTCTTTAAAGATCAAATAAATTTTGTTCCTTCCATTGTATGTGTCAGTTACTCTCCAATTTTAAAAATTTTTTCTTTTTTTTTTGATAGGCACAGAATGGCAAAAGAATGCTTTTATCCAATTTCTACCTGAAATAGTAGAAAAAAGTTTCATAAACATATTATAAGTTAATGTCTACTTTCTGATAGTTAATAAGCGTTTTTTTTTTTCACCAGAAAATCAAAAACTCAACATTATCGATGCCGAAACATAAGTGCGATTAAAAAGCAGACGCAGCTCAGAATGTGTATTTAAGTAAAGGGATATGGATCAAAATGCGTGTTTAAGGAAATTAGCTTAGCATTTGACTTAGATAAAACAATTTTTATAATAGAAGTTTGAAAAACTCTCTCTATCTCTTTTCCTTCTTTCTTTATTTTATGGAGAATAAACTGATGGATAAAAATTAATCCATCTTTTAAAACACGCTTTTTGAGCTGCAATTAAAGAATAAAAATAGAAAGTTCCCCGACGTAGTATTGCAGTGGTTTGTGAACAGTTGTTTAAGATTCAACATTTATGCTTTAAGGAGTGAGCTACTGACAACAATCTAGAGATGAACCAAAAGTGTCTCATTCAGCGTCCTTCACAACAGTAGAATGGTTAATGATGACGAAGAAGGCTGTCTCCAGTATTGCAACTGGACGTCCACTAAGTGGCTTTTTCTGATGAATCAGGTTTAGACACGTGGGAGTATACGGAGTGAAACGTTTGAAAGCCCTTTCAAAATTGCCGAAAAGGGACAAAGCTGCAGGAGGGAGCATTGTGGTCTAGGAAATGTTTTTGTGGCGTTCATCATTGAGGAAGGCAGGATGGTAGCATCACATCTATTCCGCGGACTATGTCCATCCCTACATGCGAAATGTTTCTTTCAGAATGATAACATCTACCAGAAGAACAATGCGACGTATCATACGGCAAAGCAGTATGGGCACTAGAATGAGTTTTCCGTACCTATCTCCCTGCATTTAAACCCTATCAAAAATCTGTGGAACTCTGTGCCTCGAATTCTTAACCTAGCACAGCTGGCAACGGCAGGCCTCAACGTCATCTTCAGTGATCCACGGTCTCTTCAAGAACATAATTGATACTCTTCTCGCAGAGATCCGCTCTACGAAAGATGGTTCATCAGGCTTTTGACAAGTGGTAACATTATGTGACCGGACTCTGTAGAAGGGGCTGGAATCCCGTTGCTATCGGGCTAACCATTGGTGATTTTCTTGGTTTTTTTTCAACATACAGTTCAAATAGTTCAATTAAGAAATCCTCCACGAATGCTAGTTTATCCCAATGCTTGATCCACGAGTTTCCTTTGTTTTTTTTGTTTTGGGGCTTCAAAATTAAAAGGCTACGGAGTTTAACATTGATAGTCGTCAAACCAAGCCGTTTATGAAATAAAATGTAATGTTTGAGATTTGCTTTATAAAAAGAGGGTAATGTCAGTAGTAAAATAAAACTTCTTTAAATATTCGATTTATCAGGACGATTCGACCACTCTTGCTCAAATTTTATTGCTAGGTTAAATTGCATTCTTTAAAATTATGTAAAAAATTGTATAGTCAAATTCAAAAATTTTTCGATTTATTATTAAATAAAACAATAAATATTTTGCTAAAACTTATTCTTCTGCATGGAATTATCTTTGGATAAACGAATGTTATAATTGCGTGAAAATTTTTTTCAATTTGCTTTAAAAGTTCGCGAACTACGCAAAACAAGAAAAGTAAAACTAAGTAGTTCAAACTTTGGACTAACCATACTATTAGGACCCTATTTTCCAGATTGCGACACCCCTTTATTTTGGAGGTTATGGTTAAAAATACGAATCCACAATACGAAAAAAAGATACGTTTATTCATGGAAGGTACATTTTTATGTCGGATTTCATAAATCAAAATATCGTTTGCACTCATCAATTAGCATGATTGAAATCACCCTCTCGAACCAAAAGTGATATCAAAATAACAAGAAAAAATAATAATATCAAAAACTATTTATGATAGTCCTTACGCGCACTTACGTTCTACAAACAACATATTATGAAATTTTCAGCAAGTTATATATAGTATTGGGATATTGATTGATCCCTTTTTTGAACTAAATCTTTTGAGCGTTTAATTAACATTTTTTGTTCAGACGACAGCTTTATTTTTATACTAAGAAAAAAAATGGGTTTTGGAAATCAGTGAAATTCATATTTCGCTCTTTCAGTGATTCATGATAAAAATTGCTATAATATTTTTTTATTAAACTAGTAATGCTATCATAATTTTAAAAAATCCGATTAAGTTTTTTTAAGGAACAAAATGAAGCAAATGTCTTTTATATTTTCAGTGGTCTTGAGAAAGGGCCGTGTTCATATCACCGACAGCTCACACCGCCATCACGATCACTTTGCTGACAGCTCATTTCGTTCACTCACTGTGACACGATCCATTTAATTTTCCGTCAAAGTTTCCTTATTTTGTTCCATCACTGTCATTATTAAATAAATTGAATTTTTTTTAAATATTTAACGTGCGTTATTTTGCAGAAATTGTACAAAGTTTAACCTAAAAAAAATATGCAAAATTTTTATTATTTAAGAAAGAAATATTTTAATTCAAAATAATTGCATTTTATACGATCCCCTGGTTATAGCTCTACAAATAATTTTTCCTACGCATCATTTATTATTCCTTTATATTTTGACACTAGTCTGTAAAAACTACAATCCTATTTTTGTGAGTCCTTTTGTACACTTCATGAACCGCAATCTACTGGTTGAATGAAATGTGTTTATAATACGATAGGCAATGTTACGCAGCAACAAAAAGTTAACGTTTTTATATCCGTTATCTTATTATTGCATATGCATATTGGTTTGAAACATACGAATATCTATACAGATTTTACTGACATGAATAACAAAAGCAATAATTTTAAATAAATTTAGTTAATAATTAAGTCATTAGTTTTCTTTTTATAAAGATTTTTTTATTGCAAATTAAAAGTTATATTCTACGAGAAATATAGAGCTGAAAGTGTCCGTTGTGATATTTAAAACGCAACTATATTTAAGCTAAGTCATAGCCTACAGTTTACACCAGTTTTAGATTGTAAATAATTTTGGTTCCAGTAAGAAAGTGAAGAGTTGAATGAATACCTTCGAATATGTACTAAACCCATCCACCATTCCAAATCAATATGTGACTTACAATGCAGCCAATGTAAATGACAACATTTTGTCCTACAAATTATAAGCAGTTTGTTCCCCAACCGACTATTAAAGAAAACATGTAATGGTGAGATTTTAAATGAATATCGTAAAAATTAGAAAGATAAAAAAAGAAATGATAAATTATGTGTAGAACTTTAGTAATCTGAAGGAACGAACATGAACTACGCAGTGAGGGCAAGTGACAAAAAAGTACCATTCGGACTTTTAAGGATCGGATTTCCCGTTTATGGTAACCCGTGTGAAGGACTTCTCTCTTTCAGAAAATTTTTCTTCACTGGGCAGATACATCACGAAAAATTTCTAGAACTGAATTTTCAAAAAATAAAAATAGANAAAAAAAAAAAAAAAAAGATCAAGAATCACTCCTTAAAAAATATCTGTCTACTTTCTCTTAAAATTTGTAACTAAAAAATAAAATTTTATGCTCGCCACCCTCTGAATAATCACCGTCAGTCACACATGCTTTGTTGTGCATAGACTAACTTCTCTATTATATTTATTAAAAAATTCTGTCTTTAAAGAAGTTTCATTGAATGAAAACGGTGTATTTTATTGCATCGCTAAATACCAAACAATGAAAATGACATTTTATGTTTTCTTTCATTCTTCATTTTTGTTTCTTCTTTTTTGACGCTTTTTTCTTTTTTTTCTTACTTTTCTTGGCTTTTTCATCTGATTTTTCTTCCTCAGGAGGAGGGGGTGGAGGTTCTTCAACAAGGGGACCTTCAATCAACTTCTTAGCAATATTAAAATATTCCAAACGATTGGATATATGATGTTCGATATCTTTGAATATTTGTCTTCCTTAAAGAAAAGAAAAAGAAAATACTATGAACTGAGTTCAACACGGAGCAAACTATTTTTATCCTTTTTAAGATCAATTCAATCCCTAATTCGTTAAATTTAAGTTGTTTGAGACTTATTAGTTTTTAAAGTATTTGCTTGATAATTAGTTTTTAAAATAACTAGGAAGCGCCTCATTGATTAAAAAACAATATTAAAAAAAAAGAAAATAGCCTTTTCATTTTGTTGTATCTAATTATTATATTTTTATGTAATAAAATTTTGCTAATATATGTTAATCATAAATTAAATAAATGATTTTCTGGATTTTAAAAATAATAAAATGAACTTGAAAGTAAAATTTAAACTTAAGATCTCTCTAAAAATGAAAAAAAAGCACTTAAAATTGTAAAAGATTTCGAACAAAACTCATGTCGAGTTCATAAAGGAAAAATGACCCTTTCAGCATATCAAATTTCGACTTCGTGGCTGCATTTCAGTGGGCTGCAGAGTGATTCGCATGGTAATTTTTACTACAAGTTTAATAGTTAATCGTTCTCGAACTGATGTTTGAATGTTCTATTTTACTCCCAATCTATTTTTCTACTCATTTCAAGGTACTTAATCTTACACATCTTATGAGCTGCAAAACAAAATGTAACGTTAAGTTGAACACCAAAGTGCACGATTTTTTAAATTGACAATTTTTTCAAATTCACAGGGAGAGAAAACCATATCTGTTCTGAGTATTCTAAAGGCAGAAATAATTCTATGTTGGATTAGAATTCTGAAATTCTTTCGTTTTGGTTTGAAATCGATTTAAAAATATTTTTTATGATTTTTTTTCCTTCCACATTTTGTTTTTATAACAAGATTAGCTGGTAAATCTATGGCAGGGGTCGCCAAACTTTTTTGATCATCGACCGCTATATAATTTTTCGAAATCTCCATCGACCCCCACAAAAGTAATTTTCTGTTAATTAAAATAAAAC